CGAATTACAACCAACGTACTCACCGCGCAAATACCCAGATTGACAATTTTGATCCAGCCTAAGCCGTTCCTGTCTCCAGGATTGGTCAGTTCCGTGACCAGTAGGCCAGAGAGCCAGGCCAGCAGTAGCCACTCGTACCAGTGCGGAATAAGGTTGGTGGACTGGTAGATGGGCACCAGGGGAACAACGATGGTGAAGAAGAACAACAACATCAGGTAGAAGTGAGACACCAGGTATGTCATGAACTTAACGATCGGAACCTGTGTGATAGAGAGAAGAATAGAAATATCAGGTAGAAGCGAGACGAGAGGTACGTCATTAACTTTACACCGGGACCTGTGGAATAGATAGAAGAACAGAACTATTATAGAAATTAGGTAGGTCATTGAGCTTATGACCAGGGCCTGAGGGGTTGATAAATGAACATCATTAGATAGAAGCGACGAAAGGCAAGTCTTGAACTTAACGATTGAAGCCAGAGGATCGATGCAAGAACAGAAAGATCAGGCAGAAGTGGAAGACAAAGTAAATCATGAATTTTACTATCAGAACCTGAGGAACAAACACTTGTAATAAATGTTTAACAGCATTTGTCACACAAATAGATCATATAAGTATCGGGGATTAGAGGTGTTACGAGAGCGTAACATACAAAGCAAAGAAGGAGAAGAGCTGAGGACAATAGATGTTTGATTGGGATGAAGGTGCAAACCACGCACCAATCACCCAATGGGGTAAGTTATGAACTTTACGACCAGGACCTGACGATGAAAAAGAATGAATTATTCGTGTAACTATGTAAATATTGTCATCGATTCCACAAGCAACCTTGAAGACAAACACATTTGATTTGAAGGTCAGAGTCCACTGAATTATGCCAAAGTGACAGCTTTTTGCCCAATCCACGACGGAAATTGTGGCTGGCCCTGGCTGAATCAAATGAATCATATTGGTAATTTCGCTCCGTTAAACACATCTTTAATATCTTAAATAATATTTTATAATGTATTATGATATACCTTGTTGAACTGATGTCTGACTGGCAAGGAGAAGACGATCCAGACAGGAGGGATAAGCAGGAAGGTGAAGAACAACATGATGATCTTCCAGCTGGCCCAGCGAATGTCCCCCATCCACACGTCAGAGAGGTACTTCTGGACGGCTGGATGAGCCATTACCTGGAAATAGGACAGTCACACGTCATCAGTCACGTCGACTGGGGGTGACAGGCGGTGGGAGAGGGTGGGAGGGGGTGTTTACGACCCACACGTCAGAGAGGTGCTATTGAACGGCCGATGGGCTATTACCTCGGAATACAATAACATATAGCATTTGTATAGCGCAAATCCCCGCTCAACAGCGAGCTCTATGCGCTTCACAATCTATACTATTTCCCCAGCAGACCTGAGAGTATTTTGAAACAACCTCAACTTCCAGGGAAGCATACAGTGCAAGCAGCCATTTATAGGCGCAAACACGTCAAACGCCATGTCACGGGAAGGGGGAAGGGGGGGGGTCTCTCATCTATACGTCAGAGAGGTACTTCTGGACGGACGGGTGGGCCATTACCTGGTTATAGAACAGTCACACGTAATCAGTCATATGTGGGACATGTCTCTCCTCATCACGCCGGAGAGTTTATTTTAGAAGAATGGGTGAACCTTTAATTTTTGTGTTTTTTGTTGTTGTTTTTTAAGAGGGGGGGGGGAATAAGACACGTCGGTGATCGAATCGAGTATGCTGGAGTCTGTTGGAAGCAACCTCAGAGCATTAAGAATGATGTCAAGGTTAACTGGATACCTGGAAGTGTCATCTCTGACTCAGAGGTTGACGTGTAATGACCCTCCATCCTTCACGGTCGTTGCATATTCTGCTATATCCAGGCTAGTCCATGTTCTTATGTTGTCCATCCATGTTATTATTTGCCTTCCTCTGGCTTTCCTATCCCGCATCTTTCCATCATGCACCTCTTTCGGAAAGGTCTCATGTCGTTTTAAGTGACCATAATATTGTATTGTTCTACATTTCATTTTATTCAGCAGGGTTCAAAAAAGAGGTCCAGTGAGCAGTGCATGTCGGCTGAGATGAGGGCAGTGTGTGTGTGTGTGTGTGTGTGTGTGTGTGTGTGTGTGTGTGTGTATTTGTGTGTGTGTGCGCGCATGAGTGTGTGTGTGTGTCTGGTGTGTGTTTTGTGTGCATGTGTGTATGTGTGTGAGTGTACGTTCGTGTGTATGTGTGTGGTCGTATGTGTATGTGTGTGTAGGTGCATGTGTTTGAGTGTATGCGTGCAATTATGAAGTACAAGTGTTTGTGTATATCCACTCACCTCCTTCTGCTCCATATCTATCAACACGTCCAAGAAGGAGACACCGTGAGGGTCCAACGACTTGAGCAGTTTCCTGGCACTGCTCACGTTTGAGGCTATCGCCGTCAGCTCCACCGCCATCTGCTCACAGTAAGAACTGGCAGCCACCAGGTCACGTGACCGCTCCTTCTCTTTGATGGCCTGTTAGAGGCGGGAAGAGGAATGGTGGATTAGGAACTGCATGATTTTTGAGTTGGGTGAGTTTCACGCTGCTTTAACCACAAAAAGGGGGGGGGGGGTAGATGTGAGGGTGTTACGCTCCCGTAAACGCGATGATTGATCTTGTAGCAAAAATAAAGGCAAGAGATGAGAGGGGAGACATAACAGATGATGGATGAGAACAGGACATAAGAACCTGGGACAGAACCAGATCAACTCAGAAAGGCAGAATGACAAGAAGCGGCGTGTTTTATTGCATAGAAATCCGAGAAGCAAAAACCGGGCGTGAGTTTGGTCCAGCAAGATAATGTGTGTGTGTGTGTGTGTGTGTGTGTGTGTGTGTGTGTGTGTGTGTGTGTATGTGTGTGTGTGAGAGTGTGTGTGTGTCTGTGTGTGTGCGTGTGAAAAAGAGAAGGGAGGATGAGAGAGAGAAAGAGAGAAAGAATGAAGGAAAGAGAGAAAGGGAGAGAAGGTGGACAGAAAGAGAGAGGGTGGACAGAAAGAGAGAGAGAGAGAGAGAGAGAGAGAGAGAGAGAGAGAGTGTGTGTGTGTGTGTGTGTGTGTGTGTGTG